AGGAAAAATTTATAGTGGGAAAATTGTTGTGCTGGAGTAATCCCACTCTCTTAGCTAAGGGAGTCTTCTTCCAATGTCACAGGGAATCATTACAAATGGCAGCTTCCAGGATGCAGTAGTTGACCAGGATTCCTATGTGTTACGCCCATGCTCTGATGCACTCCACAGCACTTATTGACACTACCTTCATGGCCGTTGTGTCAAGTAAAATCTGTCCAATAATTATTTAATAGAAAATAGATATATTTTAATTATTTAAGAGAAAATCTATATTATTGTCCTCCTTGATAAAGACTTGATGAAAATTCTGCCATTGTTAAATAGAACACTTCTCAGTTAACTCACTACTACCCACATTAAACATTGAAGACAGACTAGACACAAATGACAACCTAGTCTACATACCAACACAGTTGCCATCTACCATAAACTTTCTTTAAACTTGATAACTCAAAAATGAAGGATTTGTAGACATATGTTTATATGGACTTTTGTCCTTGTCCTTGTGTTGGTGTGAGGAATCCACCCACAATGTTTGCAAAAGTATTTTTGATACTGTGTGTGTGTATATATATATATATATATATATATATATATGTGTGTGTGTGAGTGTGTGTATTAATTACATATACAGGGTGTGATAGGTAAATTGTCACCATTTTATATTTTTCATTTTGTGCATGCATGTTGTTGACTGTACAATATAGTAGGGTCAGTTGGGCACCATCTGTAGTGAAAAAGAGCATTGTGATGCAATTCATTCTGCCAGAAATTTGGAAACTGTATGATGTACTGCTTGGCATTCACAGCAGAAGCTTCTATATGAACATTTCAGTGTTTGGGTGTTAATCTGAGGACAGTGCAGAGGATTCGGAAAGAGTTGGAGGAGTCTAATGGTGATTACGAAGGAGTTTGGAGTGATCACTATGTGATGGTAATGTTATGCCTCCATTCATCTTCCCATAGTTCTGCAGACTCCATACTGAGACCTACATCAAGCGCCTTGAGGAGGTAGTGCTACCTTGAGTCAAAAGGGAAGACCCTATGTCTGGCAACATGACTCTTCAACATGCCACACAAGCAGGAGAACCCAGTCATGGCTGGCAGACAGTTTCTGCAACCACATCACCCTTTCCATCTGGCCACTTAACTCCCCAGCCTGCAAACCATTTGATTATTAGGTGTGGTATTCATATTTTATCAATATATAAAATACTTATTATAAATTAAATTTGTCAATATTTCCAATATGAGGTATTGTAATTATTTACAATGTCCTAATCTTTGTTGCCATATTCACAAAGTTTTGGCCATTGTACACTCTGGCCTTCTTCAAATTCGAATTTTGAACTGAATTTTTATTTCATCCAACATAGTAGATTGTTTTAGATCTTGAAGACACCAGTGTATGAATTTTTGTGACTTATAAACCTAATGTCTCAGTAACCATTTTTACCAGAGCTCATATTGCAATTTTGTTATTGTTTAAGAGCAACATCTATCTGTACATTAAGGATGAAAACCAGTTCATCTTGTGCTGATGTAAACAAACGGCAGCTATCTCAATGAAATTTTCTGAATTTTGAGGTCTCAAATTAACCCCATTTCAAGTCTGAAGCTTTAAAATGGTTTGTAAGGTTGAGTTGATGGATAAAGAGAGATGTTTCATAACTTCAGAAATTGCGAAAGTAAAACAATGCCAGAAAATGATTGGCAGGTACCACTGAACTGTAATAAAGTTTCTTCAAGGCCCTGGACAACTCTGATGCAGGTCTGATAAGGGCAAATTGAAAACTTTATCTTGCCAATCTGTGTCCCGTCTAAAAGAAGATGTTATAAAAATTAATCTGTCCTTGTCAAGCTAGGGAATTTGAAAAAGCCCAAGATGTTAAGTCTTAAAACAAGGGGTAAAACATGCAAGACTGTTTATTTGGCTATCTATTAGCAAAAAAACAAAAAAAAAACAAATAAAATGAGTAGCAGAATGAATCAAGACAAAATTTTCAAACATTTTTTTCACCGATGAATATTGTGCAATTCTTGATAGGCCAGACATATGGAGCAATGGCTGGGTGGCTATAAACCACATAAAAATAGCAGTGATGATCTGATGTTGTAGGGAGGGGAAATGGTGGGCTTATTTTGAGTTCTGATGACAGCTGAAACATATTTTTTGAAGGCACACATGGTTTAAAAACAAGCCAAATGCTTTCAGAAAGATGCACAGTAATATGTCATCATATTATTTGAAGAAAGCTAATGATCATCTGAATAAAATGCGTTTTCAAAGACATTTGTTTGATAAAGTGGCTATCTTGTTCACCTGAACTTAGACCTATTGAAAACTTATGAAGCATTCTGAAGATAAGTTTTAAATTTGTCAGGTGGTAATTTACTACTAAAGATGATCTTTGAAATGCTGTTTCATAAGAAATAAAACATTTCATAAACTCAACATAAAAATGACTTATAAAAATAGTTTCAAAACGAAAAGCATACATTTTACATTAAGAATATTTTTAAAATCATTTAGTCATTGAAAATGACACGGTTTTAAATCTTCTCTTAAAAGCTTTGCAAACAGTGAAAATAGTTGCTTACATTTTTGATACAAAACTGAAACAAGCAGATATAGTCATCAATTTCCCAATGAGAGTTGTGCATTTGTTAAATAAGTTATTCAAAGCTTGCACTGTCAATAATTCGTCTCTTATGACAAAAGTGTTAGCAGTAAGTTTAAGCTATAGAAACACTTCCCATGATAGTAAAGGGATACAGGTTCAATTCCTTTTGAGGAGCACAATTTTTCTTCAGTAGGACTTCTCACTCTAGATCAGTTGTTATTAATTTCAATGTTTAAGAAAATAAGAAAAATACAGATATCAACTCTTGTACTCATATAAAATGACAATCATATAATAAAATATATATATATATATATATATATATATATATATATAATATTAGTGGAAAATATACATACATATGAAAAATATATCTAAAAAAATCCCATACATGTATATTTTCAGAAAAAAATTTTCAAGAGGAAGGATCCAGGTAGAACTCAATGTCTAGGACAGAGTAAGGATATAATAAAAAGGCTTAAACACTAATATTCCATGGTCATAATTTATTCCATTGGAATCGTAAATACGATCCAAATCATCAGACCTACAAATTCAAAATGAAAACAGAAAAAAACAACTCCGGAAATCAAAACAGTGTGTGTGTGTATATATATATATAATTATTTTTAAAAAAATATGATTCCTTCGCTATAATTATATTTTTTTTTAAATAATTATAATTATAGCTCTACTTCTGTATGGAGCAATGTTTTTTTAAAAATAAAAACGAAAATACTAAAGTACCCTGGATTATTTACCTAACATGTTCTTTCCTATTCTATATATTTGCGCATATATATATATATATAAAGTACATGCACAAATATGCACACACACATATATGTGTACAAATACATATATGTCCACCTTGATCCGAGGTGGTAGCACATACACACACATATATATACATACACACACATATATATATATATATTTGGTTGGATAGATGTATCCAACCAAATATGTTAGCTCTATCTCTGATATTGAGCGCTTTCTAATAAGTACCGTGCATATAATATATAAATAATTATACATATATATATTTATATACACTTTTCATATATATATATATATATATATTCACAAATACATGCATATATATATATATATATATATATATATATATATATATATATATATATATATATGCACTAATAGATACATGTCAACCCCTGACCCGGGGTGGTAGCACCTGTTAGGGTCCGAGCTATGGGCAAATAGTTAATCCCAAAACTGGAGCAAAAACATTATGAAAGTGTAAAAATAGGTTTTAATACCAGCAAGACATTTTTGTAAAAAATTATCATCAGCAATACATTTTTGAAAAAAAATATTACCAAAAAGACATTTTTAAAAAAATATTACCGGAAATAAAAATCTTGTTGGCATTAAATAACCAAATGAAGTTGATATGCTGTAAAACTAAAACTAAATTAAAGAAAATGCATTCATCATTCACAGAAATGAGTTCAACCACAATTTCAATCTGAAAATGCCACCCTTATTAAAAAAGAAGGTAACTTATTTAGATGGAAAATTCTTGAGAGTGCTGCTATCATCTTTCACCAAAATATAAATGTGCGCACTGGATTTTTTCAAATATCTCCTTTCCTAAAAGAAATACTTCTTTCCCAAGCCAACTTACATGACTATATAAAATTTTAAAATGAAAATAAAAGGGTTAAATTCAAAACCCTGTATTATTTTAAATATAGAAGACATAAATTAATTTCAAACAAAAATCATATAAATAATTTTTATATTATAAAAAAAAACATTCAACAACAATAACATTTACTCATTTTTCTTTATTAGACATTAAATTGCATCACTTAGCATCTTCCATAATTTACCTTGACTTTTCAGCTACTCTGATGTATATTTATATGAATATTCATAAATTGAAAAATTTTGAAAAATTAATGACATTTTTACTTTTCTTTATAAATATGTTGCAAAATAAAATCCTTACATTTGCCTTGATAAAATCCATTAGAGATTTAAATGTGTTAGATAATTTTTTTTCTTTTGTTTTTATTCATATTGTCCTTTTACAGATTATATGCATGCATACACAGACATACACATATATATATATATATATATATATATATATATACATACATACTTACATAAATACATATTAATTGATTTTTTTATGACTTATCAACCCTTTGCCCGAAAGAATTTTGGTGAGATAATAATGATTTACTGATACAAGTCCTACTAACCCATAGCTGGCAAGAAAGGTGGATTCATACTTTTTCCAAGGGTATTTTGTGCGTGAATATAATGAACCTCACTGAAATTGAAACTCGTCTCTCTAATTTCCAAATGCCAGCCATTATGCATTGCACCAACTGCACATTCAAGCTTACAGCACCTGGTATTCCCAAGTGGTCACCCATCTAGGTACTGACCAGGTTCAATATTGCTTAACTTCAGTGATCATATGAGAACCAGTGTTTCAACATGATATGGCCCCTATATATATATATATATATATATATATATATAAAAACAACTAGTGTATGTTGAGAAATGTAGAAAAATAAATACATCAACTAGAAGGATTTACTGAGAAAGAGAGATGAAAGAAAGGAGTGAAAAGGCTAAGAGAAAGAAAGTGAGGTCAACTTGAGATATTTCACTGTTAACCAAGACTTACATGGTCAGTAGTGTTGGGTAGGAGTTGACAAGTGGAGAGAGGTGGAGGAATAAATGTGATGGCAGCCTTAGAAAAAACTGACAGTGACAAGATGACAGAGGAAATGGGAATTAGTAGATTTCACAAATAAAATGCACAGGAGAAACAGAAACACAGCTAAAAATAATTCATCAACCCTGCCACACCCTTCAACCCCAGCAGTAAGGAAATACTAAAAAGCCTAGTCCACTAATGTTTTTTTGTACTTTCTCCTTCTTTAAAATACTAATTTAGATCAGTACACAAAGTTTTAAGAACACACAGATTCATATGTGTGTGTGTGTGTGTATATGTATATATATATATATATATATATATATATATATATTAGATATAGATGCATGGCCGAGTGGTTAGAACATTCATTTTCTAACCATGAGACTCCAGTTTGAATCTCACTATGGTCAGTTTGTCAGGGTGGCCTTGGGGGAGGTGATATCAGTGGCCAACAATGTTAGAAAGTGTCCAAAATCCACACCATGGCTTTGAGTGAAATTAGTGAGAACTAGGTATTTACTCTGTCTCCCCACTAAGACAAGTTGTGACACAAGGTCAGTTTTTAAGGTGGGGACCCGTGTACATACACCTGGGCTAGGAACAAAAATTGCCCACAGCCTCAGCAACCATCGGTTGCACTGGCCGTGGTGTGAACACCGATCCCTCTTTATGGTGCAATGAGAGAGCATGGCTAAGGGCAGCTGTTCCCCAGTGCTGGGTACCCCTCAGTATAATTTTCCTTTGACAGAGTCGCCTCTGAGTGCACTCTGCTCAAAGACAGAGACGCAACTGAGACATGATAAATAGGGTGTTGTGAGAACTATTCAGAAATGGTTGTGCTAGTACAAAATTACAAGTCATCATGACCAAGGGTTTATAGTGCATATCAGCATTGTTTACCAAATTATGGACTCTCTCCCAGAAATTGTAACTAATGTCCATTCAGTATAGTTGCAGTACAAACCACAGGTGGGCATTGTGGGTGCTGAACAAACACAAATGTGCAGGCATCTACAGTATAGATTGACTAATTAACCTTACAGACAGGTGTGCTTGGAAACGAGTAGCCATTATATATATACATATATATATATATATATATATGCACACACTATATCCTAATGATGGCAAAAACTTTTTCTTTTTATGTTTCTTCCTTGTCAATGTACTTGATTCAGTTCAGTGGTAAATATTAATAACCTTGATTGAACATTATACATTGAAAATTTCTGATCAAAATTCAACTCCATGTCATGCTACAGACTTATTGATTCAGCCTTCTATATAAGCCTGTCACCCAAAATTCTAATGTTTGGAATTTGGTCAAATACAATGCATCAGGTTCTCATACAAGTATATTTATTAAGCTTAGCATAATAATGTCCACTACTACAATAATGGGGCATCCATTTAAGATTGAACACTTTCTACACCTAAAGGATTTGTAAAACTAGAATGTTATCCATCACATCGGAATGGTGATTGAGTTGATAAATTTTGGATATAAATTAAAACTTCTAACATCATTATGGCTTGCTTTTGAAAGGTTTCAGAAATTATCCCACTCTATACCTCAACAAATTTAATTTATATCTTTGGTTTTTATTTATTTAAATATATAGATAGAGTTTGTCCGATAATCACAAAAGCATGAAACCCAAGGTTACAAACTCATATCCATACAATTGATTATATATATATATATATATATATATATATATATATATATATATGTGTGTGTGTGTGTGTGTGTATTTGATCAGCAATTCCTTATTTATGAACACATGAGAAATTATACAAAAAAAATCTTAACCTCCAGTCATTTTCAATGAAACTTGCATATATATATATATATATATATATATATACACACACACACGTGTGTGTGTGTAAATCCTTAATATAACTAAAACTTGTTAACACAAATTCAAGAATGCCTGCTGATGTATTTCAGCAAAAACTAGCTATATTTGTATTATTTGAATTTGTATGCACGCACACAGTGTAAATAAAGTAACTACCACATTTGAAAACAAAAATGAATGTAAAAAAATATTAAACAATAAAAAAAATATTTGGTGGGGTACTGAAAAACACCCACAGAAAAAATTGATAAACTTCCATCAAACTTGAAAGTAAATATCTCTATGGGATTGTCATCAACAAAAGTTTATGAAGTTTCTTCATTAATGGAAACCTTAAAGGTAAAATCTACTTAAACATTTTTCTCACAACTCTCCAAATGATAACAAAGCAGGTGCACATTACTTATATATCAGCAGAAAGTTTCAGATAGTAAATTACCAAATGAAAGGCTTTGGAGAGTAGGACCAGTGATTACAGCAGCAAGGTTGTCCCATTATCATACCTGTAGATTTTTATTAGAATTTAAAGAATTCCAGAAATGTCAGGTTCAATAACACCTGAAATACAACAAAATACTATACAAAATTCTCATGAAATATTACATATTTATGTTTACATTGGTGGTTCATCTGTTGAGAGATATTATTTATACTTATTCTCATCAGTTTATGGCCATATCATATTCAAAACACGGATTCTAGTTTGATCATCAAAGTTAAGCAATGTTGAGCTTGATCGGCACTGTGGGTGACTATTTAGGAATACCAGATGCTGGATGTGTGAGTGGTGTAACAGATAATGGTTGGCAATTGTAAATCTGAGAGCTGTGCAAATACTGTTGGGAAAGGTATGAATCTACCTCTTCTTCCCTCCAGTTATGGATTAAATAGTAAAACTTGTATCAGTAAATCATTATTATCTTAATTAAATTTTTACAATCTAAAGATATTTTCCGGTTTTAAATAATCTGCAAAAGGTTGATAAACAGTGAAAAACAAATCAATCAATGTACCTATTGTTTGATTTTGTTTTTTTTTAAAAACCTATCTTTTAGATTTCATTTGGACTTTATTCTGTTTTTGGATTCAGATGTGGTAGTTATTTTAGTTTCTCCCTATATAAATGCTTATATGTGTGCACATTTCAGCAGACTGTATATCTCAATGGTGTATACATATGTACAAATAGAGATAGATATTTATTTATATAAGTGTTCTAATATGTATATACTTTTACACATTTTCATATAGCAGTGAGTAAGGATGCACACATATACACAGATATGATGGATAGATCTTAAAATTTCAAAAGATCACACATCTTCAAAGTCAATGATTTGACAGGAATCTTTTGTATGTATGTGCATTTAACCTTTTGAAAGTCTGAAATCTTTTTAAACTGGTTTTATTACAAATGTTATATTTTATTCTTACTGTCCTGAAAAAGCTCCCCAAAAAGAAACATTACTCCATATAAATACATAGAAAAAGAAAACAAGCTTGAGACAAAAGTAGAAAAGAGAAAGAGAAGCGAAACGAAAAAGTTTCAAATTTGATTAATCTATCGAGACATTAACAAAAGAAATTTTGCATACCACACAGCTGCTATTTTAATTGGTGTGTTCTAGAATGACTCACATATAACTGATGGATAATCACCTAGCATTCTTTTGGTTATTGGTTGATTTAAGTGTCATCCAATAATGCCCAAGGAAATAACAATTAAGATGTCATTGTATTTCTGACCCAACAGCTAGAAATTCATAATGAGCCCTAATCCATCCTGTAATGAACAGTGATAAAAATCCTTAAAGCTAAATTGATTTAATGATCTATTGCAGGAAAACAGAACTGATTTGTCTCTCCTCTTTGAAGCATGCATTAACTGCCAAATAAAAGATGCAAAATTACCTAAAAAATGTACCTTTAACATTCAAGAAATTTCAGACTCTCCAAAAGCAGATATCAAGATACAAGGGAGAATTTATTTTACACAACAAATATTTATTTTTAAATATAATCTCCTCTTCTGCCTTCTTGCATGTACCATGTCCTTTCCTTACATGCCTGATCATAGCTCTCCACAATTTCCTTTCCCTTGTTGCTCTAAATCTTGCCCTTTTATTACCTCTATTTGTCCTTGTGGTTCTATTACTGCTATCCATGTGTTAAAGTTGCTTTTTACTTACAATGTCTTCCTGCTTCCCTGGTTTTCAATATGTATTGTGAGTGTTAAATTCTCCAAGCATTTTTTGCTCATTATGTGTCCTCAGAAAGTTAGTCTTTTCTTTCTGAGTGTTAGCAGTCATTTCTTTATAGTTTCTACTCCTCATAAAACTTAATACTTTGTCCATCATATTTTTAACAGTTGTATGGAGAACCAAGCCTGAAAACTTGCATTTTTAAACAAACAAATTTACTTAAAAATCCTCATCAAAGCAAGACATTCATATGGATATCATGGATGGTGTCAAAGTCATTCACAAATGTCTAAACTGTCTTCTGTATACAAACACTTTCTAAGCTTCGGGTTTAAAAATGGCTTTTCATCAATGAAGCTTATGAGTTTTGTCAAAACTACGCCTTTTCAAACCTTATGAACTGGTGCTACAGAATTTTAAACAAAGAACTGTACTAGATATCTGAAACCACATCACTTGAGGATTTTGAACAGCAGCAACAGCTAAAATCGGTATCACATGTAACTCAAAGAGAAAATAATGACATAATCAAAATGTTGACATTCAACACTACTTCAAATAAAAGATTAGGAAGGAAACCCCCATTAATACTAAGAAGATTAATAACAGCTACTAGACTTAAGAAACCTATTTTCCTGAAAAATTGTATATTACCAGGAAATTATTAATTATAATTAATCTCATTTCTGTATGCCTTTCTATTTTTGTCAATATT